GAAACGTTTCTCACTTAAAGAAACTGGTCCAGATGACACGTTTTAACCTTTTTTTTTATTACATAAAACTTTTTTTTTAAGTAAAAAATTTAGGCTGCCGCTTTCCTTGTTGGACAACGATGTTGGTGGCCCAACTGTAAGCCGTACAAAGACACGTATCGTGTGTTCTTTAAGTTTTTTTCCATCGTCCGGTCTCCAAGACTCTTGAACTTGGATCTTCACGACCTTGTGGCTTTCCATATAGCTTGAGTACCTCCTCTGTGGGTTTTGTGTATTTTAAGGTTTTGCGTTTGACATTGTGATCAATCTTTTACAAGCATGAAAACTAGTATCTCATGTGGGGATGCTCGATATTGGATTTTTGGATGATATCCGATATGCCGATATGTTAAAACTTATTTGACTGATAAACGATACTGATATTTTATATACTTTCCTTTGTCAGAACATAGCCCTCTTATTTAGGCTTATTTGCTACAAAAAAATGTGTAACAGCTGTAACAGCTGGTGACATATATTCAGTAACAGCCATATGATATGCATAGCACATTGTATTAAATGAAAAGTGTTAAATGTTATTTATTAGCATTAGTCACCTGCGATGCTTGTTCCAGGTTCCTAGCTGCAGTGAGGGATCCTCTGCACGCCTGTACATGAAGGACAGACTTTTTAAGTTCAAAGTTTTTATCTATCCATTGTGCCGTAAGACTAATCATGCTAACGGGGCTAACACGACATCCAAATGTCTGTGGTAAAACTCACCCAAGTTCTATCGGCTATTAGCTTCTCAGTGACGTTGGAGATGACGGCTTGTAACTCGGGTAAGGTTACGTAGGAAAAATATCTCCGACTGGGGACGATGTAGCGAGGCTCAACTAGTTCAAAAATCTTCGGAATCCGACATCCTCACCAACGAAAAATAAAAATTCCACACCGCCGATATTTTTAATTCTTCCTCTCCGCCGTGATCGGATCAGGTAGGCGCAAGTGACGTCATCATGTTGTGCTGGCGCTGCAGACATCCTTGTCACTGGGTTGTCATATAAAATCGGTGTCTTTTATATCGGTGTTATTTGATGGAATGGCCGATGTTCGATATTGAACCTTAGTGCTAACATCAACCGATACCACGCCGACAATATCGTGCATCCCTAATCTCATGCAGACGTTTGCAGAAACCTAGAAGACTACATGGCAGGGTGGTACTCTGGCAACAACCATGCTGGAAACCCGAAACGACTGATGGCTTCCTGAATTTCAGTCTCACTTCATAGAGAAATGTTTTTAGCCATTAGCCCTTTGACTTCAAACTAATGACCAATGGAAGAGTAAAAGTTGTGGGTTGGGTTACACCTCAGAAATGGGATTCACCTACAGTTGATAAGAAAATGGGATTTGAGTTTGTAGTATTGGATATTCAGGTT